AAGAAGAGAAGAAGAAGAGTTTGCAGTAAAGACGGAAGAAGTGTGAGAGCAAACTGCTAGACCCTTCGAGGTGTATGTACAGCTGCTGCTGCTGCTGCTGCTGCTGCTGGGCTGTGCTGCTGCTGCAGCTGCTGATTCACATCAAAGAGAAGACGCAGGAGTAGGAAGGATAATCGCCACTGACGTCTTTCCTTGAAAACTTCCTGCTGCTGCTGCTGCTGCTGCTGCTGCTGCGGGGCTGGCTGCTGCTGCTGCTGCACGCCGCCTCAGTACAGAGAGAAGGACGCTAATAATATCTTCACCCTTTCTGCACATTATTATAGTTTTTGTTTTATTTCTCTAATAGAAGCTAAGCAAGTTGTGGCTGCTGCAGCGGCTGCAGCTGCAGCAGCGGGGTCTCCTCCGGCTTCCGCTTCGGCGGGAGCAGCAGCAGCAGCAGCTGCTGCTGCTGCAGCTGCTGCTGCTGCTGCTGCTGCAGTAGCTCTAGCAGCTGCTTCGTATTGACGCGGGAGTGAAAAGCCAAGGCTGAGCCAGGGGGAGCTTGAGGAGCAGACACTCGTTTGCTGCTGCTGCTATTGCTGCTGCTGCTGCTGCTGCTGCTGCTGCTAGGGCTGCTGCTGCTAGTGCTGCTGCTGCTATTGATGTGCTATCGTTGCTGCTGCTGTTGGTAATGATGCTATGGATGCTGAGCAATTGCTGCTTCTGTTATTGCTGTTATTACTGTTGCTGCTATCAGTGCTTCTGCTAGTGCTGCTGCGGCTAGTGCTGCTGCAGCTAGTAGTGCTGCTGCTGCTAGTGTTGCGATTGCTGCTGCTGCTATTTTTGCAGCTGCTATTAATGCTGCTGCTACTGCTACAGCTGCCGTTGGTGCTCGTGCTGCTGTTGCTGCTGCTGTTGCTGCAGCTGTTGCTGCTGCTTGTTTGCTTGCTGCTGTTGCTGCTGCGTATTGCTGCCAGCAGTGAGGCTGTAGCTTCGCGCAACCAAAGAAAACTCTGCTGCTTCATCTTCTCTTCTCTGCATGCAGCTCTCGGCGTCGCTGCTGCTGCTGCTGCTGCTGCTGCTGCTGCTGCTCCTTTGGGGATATCTGACCTATGAGGGCCTATGATGCCTCTGTCGTTGCAGCTGTCTTTGCTGCTGCTGCTTCTGTTGCTGTTGCTGCTTTTGGATGCACCTGATTGCTGAGGGTTTATTATGAACAGCAGCATCTACACGTTATTGTAATTCTTTGTTTATAACAAAATATATTTATAGTTGTTTGTTTAACACATATTATATTTATTAATATAGTGCTGCTGAAGGCAGACAAAACAACAAAAAAAAGATTTGCTGCGGGCTCCTCTTTATAGTTAGAGAAGAGAATGTTTTTTTAGAAAGTAGAATGCTGCTGCTGTTGCTGTTGCTGCTGCTGCTGCTGCTGCTGCAGTTGCTGCTGCTGCAGACTTGCTGAAGACGGGGGAGGCATTTTCTTTGTTGTTTGAATATATATTATTTTTATAATAAACAATAAAATACAAATAAATAAACAAATATATTATTTCCTTCATCATTTTATTTATTATTATTTAATAAATAAATTAATAATCAAAATATTATTAATAACACCAGCGATATCTGGTGTATCTGTACATGCATAATAATAATAATAATTATTATTATTATTAATATTATTATTATTATTATGTTGTTTATTATTATTATTTATAAAGAAAGAAATGCTGCAGTGTATTGAGTAAAGAGAAGTAATTGTTATGTCTTCAAAACCACTAAGTGCTGTCTTCTTCTTAAGAAAAGTTTAATATTGTTTTTCTTTTGTTTTGCAGGTAAACTTGTTTAATTTAATTTAATTATTTAATTAAATGCTTGCTTTTATGAAGGCTAATCAGAGAGAGATGCATGCAAATGCATTTATTCTGTCTATAGAGACTCTTAATTACCTCCAAACAAAACAATAAAAAAATAATTTGTTGTATTTGTTGATATCCAGCTGTATATATATACATATATATATTATTTTTATTTCTTTTCTCATAATAACTACTATATATATACATATATATATGCATATATATGCATATATATACATATATAATATATATATATATATGTATATATTTATACTGCACTTTATCTTTTATGTGTACTTATAATCTCTTCTTCATGCCCTTTGTATTTATATACTCCTTAGTAGAAATATTAAATTATATTAAATAAAAATAAAATTTATTTCTTTTTATATTAGCGTTTGCCTTTGCATTCTTCTGTCTATTTTTATTAATATTTGTGAGCAGCAGTGCGAGGGCCTCCATTCACTTGAGAGAAACTCTCCTGCTGCTGCAGCAAGTGCTGCAGCAGCAAGTGCTGCAGCAGCAAGTGCATGCATGCATGCATGCATGCAGCTGCAGCAGCCCTGGGCTCACTGTACACTGCAACCCTTTCTTTCTGAGAAACCACCATTCGCCCCAAGTGCAACTTTACAAGGGTTTAGGGTTTAGGGTTTAGGGTTTAGGGTTTAGGAGCTTCTTTTACACCCTCATCCCTAATTCCTTAAGTATAAGAGAAGGTGAAGGGAATCCTTAATGCAAATTTGTTTACTATCTTTGTTGTTGCTTGTATTGATGCTGCAGTTTACTTATCTTCTGTGATGTGCTTACCTCTGTCTCTCTCTATCTATCTCTCTCTCTTCTCTGTCTCTTTGTCTTTCTTAGTGCATGGCTGTGCTGTTCTTTATTAATACACCGGCCTACAGCCGCCTGTGTATAAATGTTTGTCTTTATTATCTTAGCAACTGTTTTGAAGTTGTTTGAAAAGAAAGGAAGCAGGGGGAGAGCCTCGGTTTCACCTCCTCCTGCAGAACGAAAGAATGAATGGAATATTAAATGATATTAAATGCTCAACTCCCCTCCTTTTCTGAATTGCACGAGCTGCCTATACACCTGAGTCAGTACAGACCAGCTGCTGGTGAAGCATTCATGAGGGATACAAATCGTAAGATGAGGAGATATCAGGATAGAAGGAATATTAAATTCAAAGGTATTTATTCGTAGAACAAACCACGAGAAATAACGAAGAAGTCAGAGAGATTACCTGTAAAACCACACACGGACCATAGCCGCCGATCCGCGTACAGTTGAACGGCCTGAGATGAACAGGAGAAACAGAAGAATAAATAAAATGCCTTTTAAATGTGTTTATTTTATTAGCAAAAACAGAGAAGAACGCCTGATGCAGAATTAAAACCATAAAGCTCTCGCCTCCCTACGCCCACCACAGCACCGAGGCCAGCCGTCTGATCTTGGTGTGCAAGTCGGCTATGATGCGGCCCTCCTCGCGAGGGAAATTGAGCATAAATAGAATTAAAAAGGTAAAACCAAAGGTATTTAAGAAAGATTCCTTCAAAAAGAACGAAGGAAAGCTGAGAACTTTTCATGCCTTGCAACAAGCAACACGTGCGTGCCAGCATCGGACCGACTGTTGCGGTGTATGCGCAGCTCTGTTGTTGTATTTGGGGGTCTATAGCAGCGATTTTTAGTGGAATTTTTGTGCATTTGGTGTTATTTAATTCTATATTTCCGGTTATTCCTTCATATTTTTCAATTTAAATAGCCCTTGCATGCATTCAGTGCTACTTTCTCCCCAGGAACTTCGGCGCACCGACCATCGGGCTGCTGTGCATCGTTCTTGAACAGCTGCGGAATCTCCATATTTTTCTCCTTCTTTTGCAAATTCTCTTGAATGATATCATTTCCTTCTCAAAGCTCTTTCACCTCTCCTCTTCTGAAGGCTTGCGTTCTTTTGTAGGTCTTTAGCCAGCGCTTCTACGGTTGGTGTTGTGAAGCTAGGTGCTCTGAGGCTCGCGTTTGCAGGCTGAGAGGCGGTGTTAGCAGCTGATCTGAGGTTTTTTCTGTGTTCTATCATATTTGTTCTCCACAGAAATAACTAAAGAGGTCAGAGGTTCTATCTTCTCTATCTGTGCATAGCCAGTCACCGTTAACTAAGCCGTCAGACCAACGGAGGACTGAGGCTGCGCATAAGCAGAAGGCGTGCAGAGACACTGCAACATCAAACCCTGCTGCAGGTGTTGCAGCAAATACGAGAAGCAGCTGCGTGGGGGGCTGCAACACGCTGCAGCAGCAGCTTCAACAGCAACACAACAGCATAGCACCAGCGCCAGCAGCTGCAGCGACAGCAGCAGCAGCAGCATCGTTTTCCCGCTGTCAACTTCAGCAGCAGCAGCAGCAGCAGCATTTTCTGCTAGTTTCAAGTCTGGTTGTTGGGGTCTTGCAGGCGTTTGACTGTGCAATGCTTGCACATAATAATACAGCAACGATGAAGCAGCGGAATGAGTGCAACGGAGCTGCGGTGTATGATCAGCTGCCGCTTAAAGCAGAGGACGGCAGCGACATGCAGACGTGAGTTTTTTACATCGATACCCAACAATACTTTTGTATTCCACAGCATATTTAATATTCTCTTCCCTCTGCAAATAGCATCTGCTGCTGCTGCTGCTGCTGCAGGAACAACAAACCTTCAGCAGCAGCAGCAGCAGCAGCAGTAGTAGCAGTAGCAGATGGCATTTGCACAGCTGTGCTTGTTTGTGCTGCCTGTGAAGCAGCAGCAGCACCAGCACCAGCAGCTGAAGCAGCAGTACCTGCAGCAGCCGTAGCAGCAGCAGCACCAGCATCCGCACCAGCGACAGCAGCAGCAGCAGCAGCAGCAGCGACAGCAGCAGCAGCAGCAGCAGCAGCAGTTGATGTTTGTTGTGTTTGCTGCTGTTTCTGCTGCGTGACACTTGCAGACAAAAACGTCAGACGGGAGCAGCATCTGAGAAGACAGGCGGAGTGAGCTCTCTTGTTTATTTTTATTTTTATTTTTATTTTGATGTTTATTTGCTTCATTTGCTGTTTAAATTATTTTCCTTTCTTCTTCTGCATGCTTATACACACCGCTAACCCGCTGCAACAGCTTGCATGCATGGATTTAGAATATATATATATATATAT